CTACCATTAGTCCAGAAATACTTTGTTTATGATATTTCTAGTCACGCCATTCAGATTGTTAGCAGAGTGTGGACAAAGTGTCTTTAAGGTCACAGTAAATTACTATAGCATTCAGTTCGGTTTAAAACAATTAACACCAACCAGTGTGTACAGATTAGAATATTCTTAACATCAAACTACCGTCCCGCTTATTTAAGGTCCAACCCATCAGCCACGTGTCCGAACAAATTCAACCATTAGGACTGAAATGGTTCAGATTACTTGATCATAACTAAGTCATCTCCATTAGCTAAATCTGTATGGGCATATGAAAATAGGCTTGGATTTAAAGGAACCGAACGGTCGTGCTGTAGTTAAATGACTCTGATGTGACTGACGAAATCTGCAGGTCAGCTTGAGTGGTTTCTAAGTTCTCAGTTTGTGCAGCAGTATATTTCTAAAATTCGCTCAGTCCTAGAACTTGAAATTTGCATTTCTCATATGGATGATTAGTTTGGCTACACAATCCAGCTCTATGAAGTTTCAGATATGACAAAGGTTATTTAGTATTAAGATTTTTGACTTTAACGTAGAGAATCACGAGATTTACTGTTTCAAGGAACATAGAAGTGGTCAAAATTGACAAAAATACTTCAAACATGTCTTTCCACCCACTTACTTCGAACAAAAGCATAGAAACTTGAGTTTAACAGGTTTCTGAAATATACTGAGGACGTATTCAGCATTCATTGGGTGTGGTGGCCACTGGAGTCATTGGAAATACCAGTTTATTATATATTACCAAGTGTGAGTCGATAAGTTCAGTTAGGAAACCACTCTAAGCATAACCATACAGGTTAAAATACTATTGAAACATCTTATTGCATCTAAATTAGTCAAGAAAAATAGTTTGTACTATGCTTGTTAAGTCTCTCCATCTTTGGTACAAACGATCTTCACTCTTAAAAAATCATACGAACTAACCAATTCTATACAGTAAGCCGTAAATTTTTCAATAGTTTTGCGCTTCTGAATTTAGCATAATACCTCAGGAACAGCTATTTCTTTCGAAATTTCACTCATACACTTTAATACACCACGTCTAGTTGGCAGGAAAGAAAATAAAATGACCTACAAAACATATCAGCGGAAAGCCAAAACAACATCATTGTAATGAAAATGATTAAAACCCTGTGACCGAAACTATTTCAGATAGAGGTTAGGCGTATGCACAAATATTTGTAAAATGCGTTATGGTGTATCTATGTTACTATGTCATTGTGTATGCATATTCTTCTACTTCAAGTTATTTTCTTCGATGTACAGGAATTCATAACAAAGAAAAATAAAGTTTTGAGGGAGTTGTGGAGATTTGGAAATATTTCAAGTTGTTATTCATCGTAGACTGACATCAGTTGGAGGAACAGAGGAAACAAAGGAGCACTGCACTAGTATGGAACTCCTCAGCACTGCGCACCCACGGCCCCGCCAGGGATCGGACCCGCGACCTTAACATTCCGCGGCCAGCGCGTTACCATTGAGCCACTGGGTCAGATTCCAAGCTCCATATTTCCAACTTCTGTTAGCTCACGAACTGGTGAACTGGTGCTCATTGGTGACTAGCTTCGAGAAGTATTCCCGAAGTTCCAATGAGAAATCGTGACCGGTGGAGTCAAAGCCTGATGGCTGTGAGGACAGGTACTCAACGACGACATTGGGTGGCGCTTGCGCTATATCGTGAGCTAACAGAAGTTGGAAATATGGGGCATCGTATTCTAACCCAGTGGCTCGATGGGAACGCGTTGGCAGCGAGACCTGAAGGTCGTGGGTTCGATCCCTGGTGGGGTCATGGGTGTGTACTGCCGAGACGTCCCGTACTGGGACGAGATGGTCCTCCCGGGTTTCCTTTGTTCTTCTAACTGATGTCATTATACGATGAATAACAACTCAAAAGAAAAATAAGTCATTCGATCGGACAAATTTGCGCCGATTAGTAAAAATAAGAGTGCTATGGATTTTAATCAATGAGACTTAAAATAAACTGTCTTGTTTTAATATATATCTTCGTTTCTTAAATTTTTTAATATTTTCGGTTTTACATCTAACTTGTAAAACTCTTGTTTTGTTAATTATGTTGAATAATAGTCGGCTAAAAACTTCAAATAATAACTTTACGAAGTTATTTTGTTTACCTTACAGCATTCACATTTTTATGGGTTAACTGATTATACCTGGAAGCTGCCAAAATCGTAAACTAAGCGTTTAACAAACAAGTGGAGGTGAAAGAAAAGCTGAATAGACAAAATCTCAAGGTTTTTGTTAATCATCAATGCATTGATGTGTCATTGAGTAATAATCAGTTTCATGTTACTCACTTTCAATTGTAATGCAGTCAATAAACTTAAGGACTGAGAATCTCCGTTTGCTTTCACTCATGTTATCCGGGACAGTCAATCAATTGAGTAATCAATGATGATCAGTTAATTTACACCAGTTAACACATGGTGACCAACTTAGGACAATGAAAAATTTTTTTAAATGATATCACTAAACAAAGATTTCCTAAATTGTTTGCCAAAAGACTTAAAATCGAACCATTTTGAAGTGTTAGCTTCCACAACCATCAAGGAAGCTAGAGTTAATCAGTGTTTTCTAAAAAATGCAAACGGTGAAAAAGAACAGCCGTTTGGATAAAATGACAGACTCATTCTGTTTACGTTGCTACAATTTTATTAAGACCAGGTATATCAAAGCACATTAGTCATATGACCAACTTTGTTCACTATTAGTAATGAAGTCCTTTAAGTAAGATCTATATTGCTGTCATGGTGATATGTGGTTTACCGATATGGATGAAAAAAAATGAAAGATTCAGTATCCGACAATAATTTTGAAGTAACTATAGGTTTGCAAGCTTACCCGATGGAACCGTCCAGAAAAAATATCAAATTTCCACACCGATATTTAACAAATCCATGTTTTTCTACCTTCAAGTATTTAAAGGGTTACAATTCAGTCAGACTTCTGAAATCTGTAATTTTGACTTGTTAGCCGTAAACATCTTAGCATAGCTACTTATTTGAGATATCTTTACAAGTATCAAATATAAATTTTGAAGGATGACTATAGAGAAGCGATGCGATCAGAGTTGACCAAATAATCAAAAATGGAACTACTGCTTGACTTGCGTTCTCCACTGGACATCCGAACGGAAGAGTAATCGGTGATGCGTTTGTAAATACTGGACTTTTTTCAGTCTACATGACTTCTTCTCTTCAACAAGAAACCAAAAAATGAAATTATGAGTTGTTCTAAACTTTTATCTGGAAACCGACAAAGGGATAACTCTCATTGAATATCAGACGAATGGTAACAAAATCCAGTTTCTCATAGCAGATGATGAACTTGTCATCCATACATCATATATTTAACAGAATTGATAAATAATCAGATGTAGAACAGTATTTTTCAAACTGTCCATGAAGCAATCTGCTTCAAGAAGGCCCAGTGATGACTGCAAGGCCAGTTTATAGGAAACCAACTCAGAATGAACAGAACACCCATTTCCACAGTTGAGTGCCTCGAGAATCAGGGCGATATGCACAAATTATGCATCAGATGATGAGTTGGAATACCTTTTGAAAGTGCTTTCTCGGAATGGCTATCCCCAAAGATTCGTCGGAAGAAACATGATGCCAAAACAACTACATAAAAGGTTCTTACCGTTTCTGAAGAAAGATTATTCATGAATAGTGAATTCAGATGACACAACGCAGTAGGAATAACGAAGAGTCGTCTCTTCAAAGCCTTCAGAAAACTATTCTATGCTCCTGAACTGTTAATGGTCTTCTGCCGACAGTTGATTCAGGGTAGTATGTCGGACAAACTGCCGTTTTGGCCATATCCATGTCCGTCTATCAGTTTTTCTGATTATTTAGAGCTGATTATATAGGTTACATAAAGCACAGCCTTTCCAAACGCATCCGCAAACACTATTTAGCTTAGCTATTCTGGGGAGAACGCAAGTCAAGCAAATATACATTTATGGCAGAAAACGGGAGTTAGCTAGTATTTATAGTATTATCAGTATCCGTACACAAAACATGCAGGTTGTGCTTCAGACCAAAATAACCTTCGATTAATGAGGCTAACAGATTTCTTTATCAGGGTGTGTAAAAGAAAACCTTGAAAGTTCAATACTGTTTCCGGATAAACCCAGAATAAAAGATGCTAAATAAGTGTTTGTTACTATTTGTAAGATACCTTATTGTTCGTATCAGTTAAATGTATTTAAGACATACAGCGTTGTTGTTTAATTCGGAAAAGCATAAAGGTACTGTGAGAAGGCATTATTCCACTTTATCTCATTCATTAGGTGTACTGGATGATGTTCAACCCTTAGTTTTTCCTCATAGTTATATCACTGTGATGTGATGTAAGAACTTCATCTAGTGTGAGATAACTAATAAAGAAAGTGCTTATTGGTGACCAGCTCCGAGAGGTGATTCCCGAGGTACCAATTAAAAATTATGACCAATAAGGCTTGCCAAGTCGAACATGAGGACAGTTAATCAACGATGACATTGGATGGAGGTCGCGCTATATCGTGAACTGAAAGAAGTAGGAAATCAAACCATTGGATTTCGACCCAGTGGTTTCATGATAACCTGCTGACCACGAGACATTAGGGTCTTCGGTTTGATTCCTGGTGGGATGCGTCGTTAGTGCGCACTGCTAAGGAGTCCCGTACTAGGGTGAAACAGCTGCCAAGTGCTTCCAAGTTCACAATGTTTCTGCAACTGGTGTCTATGATTAATACAAACCCGGGGTGAAAATGTTTAAATGCATTTAGCAACAATGTGCAAGTAACCAATAAGGTCGTGTGGTTGACGCTTTTGCGAATTATGAACTATGTCTGTGCTCATAGGTCAAACACGGTACGCAGTTTAACTGGAGCAAAATTTCACGTTATGTTCTTTCAGTTTGTGATAAATTTACCACTCTAAAAACCAATGACTTACCTGAGTTGCAATATATGCATTTTGCTTTCTGTAACCGTCAATAAAATTAGCATTTATATAATCCGATCCTGAACTATTTCCAATTTGAGAATGATGACTCCATTGTATTGTTACACGTGTGCGATCGTAAGCTAAAATATTTGGATATCTATTTCTCCGTTTATTTATATCTAGATTTGAGTGTACTGCACTGATGTATCTTGTCGATGATATTTGTTCAATTGCTTGAAATTCTTGATTAAAGTTAATATAATTATTATTCTTTGCGTGATAAATTACTTCTTGAAGTTGTTCAACTGCAATAGGCATTCGATGAACTGAGAAAAAAATACATTCGGCAATAATTTATACTCATTTTATATACTACTCATTAGTAGGTAAGAATTTATAAGGCTTTTATCTCAAGTTTCAAATCTGAAATGGAAATTGTCTGGCAAACTTGTATTTAAACTTCTTAACATGGTCTAATTTGTCCATATCAATGCGTGACTGCGCTTACGTTAACTCTGCTTAGATTTGTGTGTGCTTCTGGTACTTTTCTTGCGACTGGTGCAAGAGACGAAGACGACTTCTGACATTTTTTTCTTCATTTTAATTTAAAGTATCAATTCACTCTAACTTTCACTAAGTCTAAGCAAATTTTGTTTCCATCGCAATGAATGAAACCGAAAACTTGATTGATGAGTAGGAATGCGTGGAAGAAGATTAAAAACTACTATTCCCAAGGAAATGATGATAAAGTTGTTTTCAGATATTGCATCTTAGATCTTGTCTCTACTACCTTCATATAACGAAGTTAACAGGAATCGGGATAATTACCCAGATGCTTACACTTCGAAAATGATAGTAGTACATCTTTTAATTCCAGTTTAGTTATGATTTCTGTCCTCACAATGTGCTGTTTATCTTAGAAGCCTTAATTCTTACCATATCATAGTGACTGATACAAGTTAAAAGGCAGCAATCTTACGAAAAGTATCCAGTGGAAAATTTCCAGTAGCCTAAGTGTTATGTAGGTAACCCTATAGTGAATGAAGAGTAATTTAGTTTGAGTAAAACGGTGTATGCTCCCCACCCAGGAAATGTGTGATATTCTCACCTTCTTTTTATCTCTGTACAAACTTTATGAGACAGAGTGGTGACCACAAAATAAAAAAGGTAGTCATTTCAATTTTTAGCTTGAGTAATGATATAAATTAACCTTGCCTAGTTGACTAGTTCACTAGTCACTAGCTGGTCCTAAGCCCCGATAAAGAGGGAAGGTTGGGCATAGGGCTAGCAACCCTACCCCGTAAAACAAATCTAACCTCTAACCAAACTTCAAAGCACAAACGAAATATAAAAATAAAAACAAAATTATTCCTCTCTGGAATCAGCGAGGCAAAATGATGCAGGTTGGTGAAAGCCTCCACGAAGCCAATTGGCCGATGTGTCTTCTCTCGATGAAAGCGAAAGTAAACCAGAGGACATGCAATGTCCGCACGATGTTTGAACCCAGCAAGGCAGCCCAGATTGCTAACGAGATGAGAAGGTATCACACTGAAGTACCTGGAATTTGCGAAAGCAGATGGAATGGAAGTGGACTCTCCAAACTGTCAACTGGAGAATCAATAATCTACTCCGGTCACCCAGACGAAAACCACGAGCACACTGAGAGAGTGGCTATCATGATGTCTTCAAGAGCATCGAAGGCTCTCATGCAGTGGGAACCAATCTCCTCCAGTATCAGGTTCATGACAGCAAGATTCAACTCAAAAGGAGGAAGGTCACAATCATACAATGTTATGCACCCATAAATAATGCAGAGCAAGAGAAAAAGGAGAAATTCTACAGACAACTTGAAACAACACTGGACAAGACACCGCCTCAGTTAGCGATATCAAAATTCTAATGGGAGACATTAACGCCAAACTGGGAGGTGACAACACAGGAAGAGAACTAACCATGGGTCGAGAAGCACTCGGTGAGGTGGTGAACGAGAATGGAGAATTGTTTGCAGAATTCTGCGCATTCAACGATTTGGTGATTGGAGGCAGTGTGTTCAAGCACAAGGATATCCACAAAGCGACATGGATTTCACCAGATGGACACACTAAAAATCAGATCGACTTTATCCCAATCTCAAGAAAATGTAGACGCAGTCTACTTAACATAAGATCAAGAAGAGGAGCAGATGTAGGTTCAGACCACTATCTAGTGCAAGGAACCTTCCAAATCAAGTTAAAAGCCTTCAAGGAAGCTGGTGATAGACCTCAATTCAAGTACAAAACTCGGAAACTGAAGGATGAAACTACAAAGGAGATCTTCAAGGCAGCCATCAAGACAAAATGGGAGATATCGAGGAACATCCCTGAAGAAACCCGTGTGGAAGAACACTGGAAGTCTTTGAAAGCTATGTGGAAAGAAACCTGTACAGCCATATTAGGAAGGAAGAAGAAAGAAGACAAGGAATGGATCTCGATGGATACCTGGAAGCTAATAGAGGAGAGGAGGATAGTGAAGCAGAAGATAAACCAGTGCAAGGATGCTCGACGACAAGAGGAACTGAGCACAATGTATAAAACACTGGACAAAGAAGTAAAGAAGAGTGCACGCAAAGACAAAAGACACTTCTACAACACACTGGCAAGTGAAGCAGAACAGGCTGCAGGTAAGAGAGACCTGACAACATTGTATCAAATAACCAGGTTGCTATCAGGGAAGAGATCAACACACATGAAACCAATAAAAGATGAAGAAGGAAATTTAATTACGAAAGAAGAGAAACAGAGGAATCGATGGGCCGACCACTTCAAGAAGCTCTTGAATCGACCACCACCTGCACTTCGTCCAGAAATACCACCTGCAGCCCAGCCACTAAACTACAAGTGAACATAAATCCTCCAACAAAAATGGAAGTCCTGAACGCCATAAAAATGTTGAAATGTGGGAAAGCAGCAGGACCAGACGGGATCCCGCCAGAAGCACTGGAAACAGACACAGAGACAACAGCGGACATGCTCACACCACTATTGCAGAAGGTGTGGAAGGAAGAGAAGGTACCTGGCTAGTGATTGGAAGAAGGGTTACCTTGTCAAACTGCCGAAGAGGGGAGACCTCAGTGTTTGCAACAACTGGCGCGGAATCACTCTCCTGTCCATCCCAAGTAAAATATTAAGCCGCATCATCCTGGAGAGGCTTAAGGATGCGCTGGATTCAAAACTACGACCGGAATAGGCAGGCTTCAGGAAGTACAAATCATGTGCGGATCAAATTGCAACCCTTCGCATCATCATAGAACAGAGTATAGAATCGCATTCAACTCTACACCTCAACTTCATCGACTTTGAGAAGGCCTTTGACAGCGTCGACCGACAAGTAATTTGGAAACTGCTTCATTACTACGGAGTACCGCAAAACTTTATCAACCTCATTCAACAACTATATGAAGATGCCACATGCCGAGTAATTCACAATGGGAAGCTCAGTGATGCTTTTGAAGTAAAGACAGGAGTGAAACAAGGTTACCTACTATCCCCCATGATATTCCTGATTGTGGTGGACTAGATCATGCAACAAACAGTGGGAGCGAGAAGAGGGGGATACGCTGGCTGGACTGTGGAAAAGAACCTAGAAGATCTGGATTTCGCCAGTGATGACTTGTGCCTGATGTCACATAAACTTGAAGATCTACAGGCAAAAACTAACAAGCTGGCAGAAGAGGCAGGGCAGCGAAGACGGGACTTCAAGTGAATATAGAGAAGACAGAAGTGATGAAGATACCGCACCAACAACTCCAACAACAACAAACTCCGATCACCATCAACGAGATAAACTGAAGGGAAGTAACCTCCTTCACCTATCTAGGAAGCACTGTTTCAACTACAGGCGGTGGCGGCACAGACGAGGGTGTCAAAGTCAGCCAGATCGGAAAAGCAAGACAGGCGTTCATTGGCCTGAAACCAGTGTGGAGATCTGCACTCAGCGTGCGGAACAAGATCCAGATTTTCAACACCAACGTCAAGTCAGTGCTTCTGTATGGTTCAGAGACTTTGCGCGTTACGAAAGGGATTTCCAATAAACTACAGATATTCATCAACAACTGCTTACGCTCGCTACTGAAGATCAGATGAGACGGCTAGAGAGAATAAGCAACAAGGAACTCTGGTATGGCAACGAACCAACGAGGCAAGAATCTATCGCTGAACAAATATGCAGAAGGAAGTGGAGATGGATTGGAGTCAGCATACACTGAGAAGGCCGACTGGGGACATCACGTGTCAGGCCAGTCTGTCGAGTGGAACCCTGATGGGAAGCGACGAGTAGGGCGTCCGGGGTGAGGGTGAGATGGAGGAGATCGTGAGAGGAGGAAATGAGAGCTTGTGGGCTGTCGTGGAACCAGGTTAAAAAGATCTCAGAGAACAGAGTGGAATGAAGACGTGCTACTGAAGCCCTATGTTCCACTAGGAACACAAGGGACTAATAATAAAAATAATAATAAATAATAATGATATAAATTATCAATATCAGGGTGTCATCGAGTGCCATGAAGTTAGATAAACACCACGAAACAGCGATATCTTACTTTCTCTTCTGGCATACGTAAAGACTTCGCAATTATTAGAGATTAGAAACTGCAACAAAATTACCGTTCACTTCTATGTCAATCTCAGTTATGAACCCTTACTAAAAATAACATCTATTCAAAAATGAAATAAAATGGAAAAATAAAATTTAAGAAGAAAATACTGGCAGTCCTTTGTTGATTTCACTTGATCAGCCACTTATCTGTCCATTCTCATGGAATATTCATTTAAATGTCTCATTAAGTGTGAGAAACAACCTTAACTTCATAGGTTGACATATGCCGGCGGTAAGTGTTTTACAGCCCCTACAGAAACCGCTTCTCCACCACTAAGTGCAGACAGTTTACTGCCATATATGCTCAGCCAAAGCCAATAGCTTAGCAGTACAGTTACCAAATTTGATAATAAGCGATTTCAGAGGAGATATAGGTGTCTCAGTGGGGTAACAGTTCCTTTCCTGATGGAAGTTAGCAAAAGTGAAAGTAGTCAGACGGTTCCCTACTGATTGACTTCCCATATCTAACAATTAACACTTAATACTCTCTTTTCCCCAAAAGCTAAGATCTTTATCATAACGACTAAAGTTGTGGAGCATTTCACAAACAAATATTCACTTGGTGTCCCACTGCGTTCCACAAATTCTCGCCAATCTGTGTTAACTATTTGGGGCTATAAGTAAAACATAGAGATGTAGCAATGAAATGAAACTCATATTTATCTGGCAGGTTAGATTTAACGGATATGAGGAGATCACTGAACACTAATCGTTAAGAGTCAGTGGTGGTTCTGTTAATTTAGTGTATTTTACTGTTATGCACAAGCTTTTTTATATCGAATATTTCATAGCAAGTTAGTGGTTAGTTTGCTACTTATGAGAACGGTTATTTCCTTTAAGCTGCTGCGTCTCTGATAGCTTGAATCTTTCATTCTCAATGAGATTCATCGCCTAGTGACTTCATATTAACCAACTCGCTAGTAGAACAGTACTCAGTATCCAAGCATCCTTCGGTCTACATTTTATCGCTAGTATCATCACTGAAGGCAATCCAAAAACCAACTTACTTTAAAAAAACACTTACTGGTTCCCTGTATCACAGCGACAACCTCTCCTAGTCAACTAGTTCACTAGTTACTAGGCAGTTTTAAGACCGGACAAAGAAGGAAAGTTAAGCATAGGGTTAGCAAGCCCACCCCGTAAAACCAATCTAACCACTAAAAAAACTTCAAAGCACAAAGAAAATATAAAAAAATGAAATTAACCTCATTACTCGCTGAAATCAGAGAGGCAAAATGAATTCAGTTGGTGAAAGTCTTCGGGAAGCAAATTGGCAAATGTCTTCGTCTCTCATGACATGGAATGTCTGAACAATGTTTGAACCTAGCAAGGATACCCAGATTGTCAAAACGATGAGAAAGTATAGCATAGAAGTACTAGGAATTTGTGAGAAATCTGCAGAGGGAATGTATGTGGACTCTCTAAACTGTCAACTGGAGAAGAGTCAATAATCTACTCCGTTATAATCACCCAAATGACAACCACGAGCACACTGAGTTTTGTAGTGGCTACCATGATGTCCCCAACAGCGTCGAAGGCTCTCTCTCATACAGTGGGAACCAATCTCCTCCAGTATCAGGTTCATGACAACATGATTCAACTCAAAAGGAGGAAAGTCACAATCATACAATACTACGCTACACTACGAGATTACAAATAATGCAGATCAAGAGAAGTAGGAAGAATTCTACAGACAACTGCAATCAGCAATGGACAAGACCTCAACCCAGATGGAGACATCAAAATTCATTCTAATGGTTGGGTGACATGAATGGCAAACTGGGAGAAGACAACACAGGAGGAGAACTAACCATGGGTCGAGAAGCACTCGGTGAGGTGATGAACGAGAATGTAGAATTGTTTGCAGAATTCTGTGCATTCAACGACTTGGTGATTGGAGGCGGTGTGTACAAACACAAGGATATTCACAAAGCGACATGGATTTGATTTCACCAGATGGACATATTACACTAAAAATCAGATCGACTTCATCTCAATGTGTAGAATGTGGAGACGCCGTCAGCCTACTGGACACAAGATCAGATCAAGGAGGGGAGCAGATGTATGTTCACACCATCAGACTATCTAGTGCAAGGAACCTACCTTCAAAATCAAGTTGAAAATGTCCAAAGAAGTGGGTTATGTACCACAGTTGAAGTTCAACACCCAGAACTGCAAAGGAAATCTTCACATCAGTCATCCATCAGGAAGACTGGGAGATATTGAGCAGCATCCCTGAAGAAACCAGCGTGTCGATGAACACTGGAACTCTTTGATAGAGATGTGGAAGGAAACCTGCATAACTGTATTAGAAAGGAAAGAAGCGGTGCAGGAAATGGATCTTGATGGACATATGAAAGCTGATAGAGGAGGAAGAGCAAGGTGGTGAATGAGAAGATGAACGAGTGCAGTGCAGTGCAGTGCAAGATGACAAGGAAACGAGGAACTGACACAACCTATAAACACTACACTGGACAAAAGTGAAGAAGAGTGCTTACAAAGACAAAAGACACTTCCACGACACATTGGCAAGTGAAGCAGAACAGGCTGCAGGTAGAGACAGAGACCTAACAACATTGTATCAACTAACCAGGTTACTATCTGGGAAGAGATCGACACCGATGAAACAATGAGAGATAATGAAAAAACCTAGTTAGCAAAAGGTGAAACAAATAAAAAATTGGCCGACCACTTCGAAAAACTCTTGAATCGACTGCCATCACCCGCAACTCGTTAAGGAATACCAGCAGCAGCCCAGCCACAGAATTACCAGTGAACACAAGCCCTCCGACAAAAGCCGAAGTGAAATCCTGAAGCCATCCAATAAAATAGCTGAAATCTGAAAAAGCAGCAGGACCAGATGAATTCCTCCAGAAGCACTGAAACAGACACAGAGACAACAGCGGACACGCTCACACCACTAATGCAGATGGTTCGAAGGAAGGGAAAGCTACTGCTGATCTTATGTCTTTTCACAAAAGTCGAGGCAGAAACCAACAAGTTGACAAAGAGGCGAGGCAGTGAAGACGGGACTTCCCACAGGTGAATGTAGAGAAGACAGAGGTGATGAAGATACCAACAAACCCAATCACCAACATCAGCCGAAATCTAAAGGAAGTAGTCTCTCTCACTTACCTAGGCAGCATCGATTCAATTATAGTGGCAGAACAGATAAGAATGTCAAAGCCACGATCGGAAGGACAACAAGAGGTCTTCATTAACTTGAAAAGTGTGGAGATCTACTGCACTCAGCATAAAGAACAAGATCCAGATTTTCAATACCTATGTCAAGTCAGTGCCACTATGTTGTGTTTCATGGACTTGGCACGTTACAAAAAGCATTTCCAACAAACTACAGACATCATCAACAGCTGCTCGATACTGAAGATGGCGATCAGATGGCCAGAAAATAGCAACAAGGAACTCTGCAACGAACCAACCAAGAACCTATCGCCCAACAAATATGCAGCAGAAGAAAATGAAGATTGGTTGGCAATACACTGAGAAGACCGATTGGGGACATCACGCAGCAGCCAGGCCATCGAGTGGAATTCAAAGGTGAGACGACGAATTGTGCGTCCGAGGGGGACATGGAGGAGATCGTGTGAGGAAGAAACGAAAGCTTGTGGCAGTCGTGAGGCAGGTTAGAAAGACTGCGCAGAAGAGAGTGCAATAGAGACGTGCTACTGAAGCCCTATGTTCCACTAGGAATACAAAAGAAATAATAATATCAACAAGGAAGTTTAATGTGTAGTCATTACAGAGAAGTATATTCAGTCTTTGAATGGATTTCAGAAGTTAGCCACAGTGAACTAAAATGACTAAACAGAAGTTGGAAATAGGGACCATTAGATCTTGACGCTGTGGCTAGATGGTAACATGCCGACCACGGAACTTGAAGGTTACGGTTCGATCCCTAGCGGGTCGTGGTTGCTCACTACTGGAGAGTCCTTTACTAGGACGAACAGCTGTCCAGTTTCCCAGGTTTTCTTTGTTCCTCCAACTGATGTCAGTCTACGATGAATAACAACTTAAAATAGTTAAATTTAATCACTTGCACGAGATATCGGTAATTCTAGTTGATAATTCTATTTTAACTCAAAGATTATATTCTCATGACCAGATATTTTGTTTCTTTCTGAAATGAAAATCACAATTTTCAGAATAACAAGTAATCAAACTTCTACGATTCATACTTTACTCAGTATTGGAAGATTTTTCACAACAGAGTTATCTAACTAAAAGAATCTCAGAAATGGCTCGGTACTTTGAATATAACCTCTACGATTTGTTATTCTGGCGCAAATACCTCAGCTAGAAGTTTTTTTATGACAGACAAAAAAATTGTTGATTAGCTACCTATGACAGGATGTGACATTATTCTGGAACATCCTAATGCCTGGATTTCCCTAATTATCAAACCAGAATCGTCAACAAATCGAAAACACTAACTTGACAAGGTAAAAAATGTGGCTGTCAGTTGAAGATCTGATATAGATTGTAGAAGTGCTTTCTTTTACTCTGTTCCACTGATAAAGATAGACATCATTACTGAACAAGAAGCCAAGATTAGGAAAATCCGCACCTCAAAATAGTTACTGATATCTGGATGAAAATAAGAATTAAGGCAATTGCTAAGGTTGTAAACATGTTTTTTTTGAAATGATTGGGATACTGGTTGCTGAGGTCCAGTTTTCAGTTATATTCAAGTATGAGTAAAACACTGAAAATATCCATGAAAATGCCAATAAATAAATATGTTTGTGTGGGAAATTTGGAGCTGTAGTGGTGAAATTTGTTTTTTTAGTGAAATTCAACTGTAGGTGGTTCAATGCAACACCCCGCATAGTTAATAAGTTATGTATCATTTTTCAAGTTTCCGATATTTTTGTGATCAGACAAAAGTTGGTGAGTCATCAATAGGAATATGAGATATCAAGAAGATGTGATTGTTGATGTTCTCAAGCTTTGAGGCTGGTTCTTAGATGTTTCCTCACCAGACTAGGCAACTTTGTCAACGTTTACTTCACTTTCGAAGAAACCTCAAAGTTTGGAGAACATGAAACAACTATCAACTGAAATCCCCCTTTGCAAACATTTACACTACGTAACTATTTCAGAAACAATTTATCAAAACCTTATGAAAGTACAGGACTCAATGTGAAACCATCAAACTGATGCTTCTAAGATATTCAACTTACTTTCAATTGTTCCATCGCGAACAAGTTGCTGGAAATTTTCTAATGCATTAGTAGTACCGAGCTTGGAATTAACTTTAAATGTCATTTTGCTAACAACAACTTCACTACTATTTACACTGCGTGTTGGTGATTCATGCCTTTGTCCTGTACTTCCTAGGTTCATATGAACTGACCTAGTGATTGTTGGTGATAAATCGGATATTGTTAGTTGGTTCGTGGGTGATGCTAGTGGAGAGGTGATATTTGTGGCAACGGATAGTCCACCTGTGCTTGGTCGTGGAGGATTTATTCCTAGTATACCACTACTTGAATTCGATGGACTGTGTGATCCTTCTGTGTGCAAATTTAGAAAATAATTAGATGGTTGGGAAGTTGGAAAATTGTTGTTTTTTGGTGAATAGCATTTAGTACGTGAATTATTTGGTCCAGATGAATTTTCAGTAAATATTGATTTACTAAGATCTCTGCATATTTGTGCATCCCATTGGTTAGTTGTTTCAAGCATCGATCTTCGATTGAGTTGTTGCTTTCTGCGCCTCAAAATACATCCCAGTATGGTACTTAATACAGCGAAAAATATTAATCCACTAGCTAAACCTCCCAAAATTATAGTGAATGAAGGGGATTCTTGTATGCTCCACACAAAGGTTTTGTCTTTTTGAGATTTCAACCTTGACAAGTTGTTCATCTTCGTCGGGTTTATAAAGGATATTCTTTCAGACCACTGACTTGTTGAACATAGTTGATGACCATCAGGATACTGGAATAAAAAAGTTCACCAGATAAAAATTAGGTAATTAAAGGCAATGTACTGATGGTTTGTCTGTTATCCACCTGGATAAAAAATTCTAAATATTTATCTTGCTACTTAAATACAGGTATAGTAAGCTGACTACAAAAACAGATAATGTTCACAAGTCGATACTTTATCTACAGCAATATACGTTCAAAACCATTCGGCCGAATTGGGCATGAATTATTCAAAGAATATTTCAGGTGAGTATTTGTCACGCACTGATATCAGATGGAGAAACATTGTAGACCTGGGAGCATTGGACGACTGTTTCGTCCTAGAATGGGACTCCTTAGCAGCGACCACCCACGACCCAACCAAGGGTTGAACCCAGGACCTTCAGGTTCCGTGGCCGGTGTGTTACCATTGAGCCAGTGGATCAGAATTCAGTGTTACATATTGCCTGCTTAATCATTTGCTCACTGGTGACTAGCTCTGAAATGTGATTCACAAAGTCCCATTTAGAAGTCGTGACCAGTAGAGACAACCAAGTCAAACATGAGGACAGTTACTCAACAACAGCATTGGATGGAGATCGCTCTTTATCATGAATTGGCAAAAGTAAGCAATATGGACCGCTGGGTTCCAATCCAGTGACTCAGTGGCAACGTTCTGGCCACGGAACCCGGTCTAAGGTTGGGTCTCTTGCGGGGTCATGGGTGAGCACTTCTGGGGAGTCCCATTTTAGGACAAAACAGCTTTCCAGTGCTCCCAGATTTCCAATGTTTCCTCACTTGATGTCATCCCATAATGAATACTTACCTGAAGTCAATGAATTCCCACAAACTTCAGAATCGTGGTATTTTTCTACTTTGAGCTATGTTGAAAATGAGGATATTTAAATGAAATTGTAAATTTGATATGGGTTAATACCTTTAAGCTGTCAGGCAATAACTATTCGTTATGAATACTAAGTAATAAACAGGTATCCTAATGATCTGCTATATATATTGAGAAGCCTATGTATTATTTCTGGGTTAACAGTCCGAAGCTTTTGATTGGAAGAATCGTCTAAATGATCACTGAAATCAGTAAAATACATTACGTAATCGGTCGCTATCAATGTTATTGAGTCTTACATTAGTACCCAAAGTCAGTAAATTATCTTATCGTTAGTAACGGTGTCTGAAAAAATAAACAAATAAAACTGCGATTCTTTATCTTACATCACTGAAGAGTAGTACACCGTAATTCGGTGCGTGTCACTTTATAAGTAGTCATTTATTACCAGTTAAAAACTAGCAATAAGGTAATCAACCCTTATGCAAACGTTGTTAATCTACAGTGAGACACTGGATTTCCCGGTTAGACTTCATAGTAATTTAAATTGACACTTTTTACACGAATTTCGGCATTTTGCAGGAACAGACCGAACATCTGTCATTCAATGATAAATTTGAAAGCTTTGCAATCAGTGTTTCCTTTGAATACTTTTAATTAGGAACTTATTACAGAACATTATTTTCATTTCATTCTAGTTAAATAATGAACAGTGATGGATAATTTTACAGCAAAGCAACCAAATGTTATTAGTAATCTGAGAAAGTCATTATTTGTTAGACTGATAATTAGTGATGGAGAAATAAAAACCTAGGCCACAGTAAATTCAAACTAGCAGCTAGAAATCCGAGGGCTATTGTGTAATCTAGTATATTGTGAATTATATCCCTACAAAATAATGAATATCAGGGCAGTATTTAGGTACCCAGCTGCATAGGAAGTCATCTGCTAACAGAGTTCAACCAATTCGGCTCAGTTTGGAAACAGGAAATTACAAGTTTCGAAACCGTTGCACAAGTGGCGGCTATCGTGCCCCAACAACCTGCTGAATAGGGCTTTGGTGTTTGAAAGGATAAGTACTTTGCTTAAGTTCCAGTTGGAACAGCATAACTCGCTGGGGTAAACATACATCCATCTGAGTTCCAAAATGGATGAAAATGGCGTGTAAGATTCCACTGCTAACAACCAAATGAACTACTAGATAGTCCTTTCCACTCAACAGGGTAATGTTGGGTCTATTATTGTCTGATACGTCCAGAAAAACTTTATGTAACACTTCGAAAACTCTCCTTTTGAACATCTTCAAAGTAATTATGTGGAGAGTTTCGGTGTTGTGCAAGGAATCCTAGTCTCTTCAGTTAGATATTCTGTCTTATTCAAAATTTCCTCACAAAATAGACTTTTTACATCTTTGTTTATGTCTAGTCGAAAACAGGAATTTTATTCTTAAGACTAGTGATTAACAGCTAAAGTCCCTGTAGTGAGGTGGTAGCCTGACTGAAATTTAGGCTGCCCCATTTCAGCACAGAATACAGTGCACCATGTTTTTCCCTTTTACATTGTTTTAATCCTTCAGACTTATCGTCTCGCGCCTTTTTAAAATCATTTCAACCTATCACTCTACAACATGATAGGCAAATTAAGAAAAAGCAGCATGGTGGATGGAAACGGGCTCTCAAGCATATGAATATAGGTCAAATGATTAGTCTGAAAATACTTGGCACAAACAGCAGGCCGTTACCGAAGAAAGTTGATGATTACCTTCAGTCACTCTTATCCATAAATGTTTATCGGAACACCGTTGTAATAATGCTGCAGGAAACCTGGCTTCATAAGTTGTATGATGACGATTTAGTTTGCTTAGGTGGTTTTAAATCATTTCACAAGATTGATGCTTTTCAGGAAGAAATGTGTTGGTGTAGCGACATTTATGAGTACAATCTGATCCACCATCAACCATACATGTTCTAGTTTCACCAACGGCAAAATTGAGTGCATTACTAACCACTGTCGTCCTAAACACTTAAGTGAATACAAATACATATACATAACCAACATTTGTGTTACGCTTGACTGCAGTTTCTCAGATTTGTCAACTTTTGTTGACGAATTCACTGAATTTCCTGCTCAGTTTCTGGATGACTGTTTGTCCATAGTATGTAAAGATTTTAATTCATGTGAATGAAGTTTCCTTGCACCACTGGGTCCCAAAAACACGGTAGACATTTGTACTCGCCTTGACAACACACTAGATTTAGTGTTTACGAGTGACTCGTAAACGAGCTCTGGAGCTGAATTCTGGCTACTACATTCTACGCGTTCTGCCAAAAATGTGCGGCAAGTCACATAAAAAAGCTTTTAGACATCTTTCCAGAAAAGCACAGTACAGGTGGTATTCATAGAAGGATGTACTACATTTGAGAAGCAGACTGGTATATATTTGTCGATAAAGTGTTAGACAACAGTATCACTATATCACAAGCTATCTCAGATTCTGTCTTGACATACGCTGCTCAGCTGAAACAGTCTTCATTAAATTTGACAGACTTCCCTCTTCTCACCTCAAGAGTCTCTGCAGGGGAAACGGGAGGATTAATAAAGTGAGAAATCACCCTGGTATTAAAAGACAACTGAAATGCAACATCTAAATGCCATTTACAAACAGAATTTTCTTCTTCCAATATATGGAAATAGTGCAAAGAGCTTACTGGAGGAAAATAGATAAAAAAGAAGATTGTCCTAGTGTCTGCCCGTTAAGCCAGTCATTCATAAACCAGTAAGCTGATTTCATCCTACCGGGTGTCCATGGCTAGACAGATGGTTGCTTACCTGGTTTAAATAAGAATGACGTATTTAAATGTCATATCTTTGAATCCATCCCAATCTTAGGTCTTGGTGGTGTTTCAAGTATTATATTTATAAAATGTTCAGATAGTTTATGTCATCCTTTTACAGATATATTCAATGTATCGTCTTTCAACAATGCAATACCTATCACTTGGAAGGGGAATAAGGTTATACCTTTTCCTGCATCATCTTCCTGATCAAATGTTAAGTTTCAAACCAACGCTATAACATCCCTTTTTTGAAGACAATGAGAAAATTACTTCTACTTATGCTTGAATGTGCACTGAAGGGTTTTAAAGATCCAAAATAATTTACTTACAAACACACGAGAAGTACTTTAGCTACTGCCACTGTCTTGCATCATATTATTGTTTCTAGCCTAGACAGATGTGCAGAGTATGTTTGCGGTGCCAACTTGGGTTCCAGTTCATCCTCTGACTCAGTTTCTAGAACAATCTTCACAAATAGTTTTGCCATTTCTCATACTCTGAAAAACATGTCGAGTATTAACTATCTTGGACTTAGTTTACTTCCAATATTCCTTACTCATCTCATACTTTGTTGACTTCCAGGAAGATCTTTAGTTTAACATATTGCATAGCGAAACTTAAACTCTCTGGTACGAACTCAACCTTTACTTTTACAACTTATTAAGTCTTGCGTTTTACCTATTCTTTCCTCTTGTTCCCTGTTGATATTTCCCGATCTACTACAAAAAGGGCTACATTTTATTGCATAGGGCTATTAAAGCCGTCATTAGGGTGAGTGCTGCTACTATGACTCAGACGATCAGTACTGTAGTTTTCAGATGCTTAAATTCCAGAAGACAAGTAGCTAAAATGATTTTAACAGACACTGAGAATCTATTTCATCTACAGCTCTCTCAATGTATCTCCCCAGGGAGGATGCGAAGAAATTATGTAAGACTACGCTCGTACGGCTGAATACAGGAATTCGATTGTGCCTTACCTATTAAGCATCCTATATGAGGAATAAAGTGTTATAACAGAACTTAATAATCAACATCACAACGATAAGCAATCCGTTTCCAATATTTTAATTACCTATATAAAGTTTTCTTGTTATGAATACTCTTTACATAACTTGAGTTGTTATATAACACTATTTGAAATGTTTTGAAGAAGTATATGAAAATATATTTTTTATTGCAATATATCATGCTGGAGACTCCAGTTTGTACCAAAAATTGTTTTAAATAAAGTAATTATCATTATTATTACTGGCTTGAATCAATAAGAATGGACATTCACACATTAAGGTTGACTTTGTTATGTGGAAGCTGTGCAAAATGCACCATTATCGTGAATTTGATACACGGT